CACACACACTCTAAACCCTCTTTACACTAATTACCTGTTAGCTAAATACTTAAAGTTCCTAAAATTAGGCCCCATGTTAGCACAAGCATTATTCTGAAATGTTGAATAGGGCTACATCAATTTAGCTTTTTCTTTTATGGTTTTAACATCACTGAATTCGAAATGAGATATTTTATGATTTAAGTACTTGAAGAACTGCAAGCCTTCAAGTTCTACCACAATTTGCAATTTGCAAATTTTATACACATCATTGAATAATATTTTAAGTCCAGAATATCCCAATAACTGTCTACTGGAAAAACCCAAGTATATCTACAAGCATAAGGTAAGCATACGATTGTACAGTATAAGATAAGCATAAGCATAAGATATTATTGAGAAACAGATTAACTATTTAAATTGTTATAAAATGAGTTGCATATCGACTGGACACAATGTTTCTTTATTATTTTAATATCCAGTCAAACAGAAAGAAAATCTTTAAGCAGTATAAAAAATACTGTTAAAGTGCAAAGAAAGAAAGAACAAGAACATGCTATAGAAATTACGTGCTGTCCCCTTGTGTTTGCTTCCTCTTTCTTCTCTCGTCCTCTGTGCTCTTTTCTCACCTAACTGCTACTTTCTCAGATGCGTCTGCCACTGAGCTTCTATTTAGAGGAAAAGGCTCTTGCTATCCTTTGCCTAGCCCAAGCAGCTTTTTAGCATCTTTCCTATTTTCCTCTAGTTTCTTATACTATGAGTAGTTTAGAGACGGAAATTCCAGGTCTCTCGCTCCATTGTGTTGCTTCCACATCTTTGTTTCTTTCGGCCAGGCCTCCGGACATTTAGTTTATTTTATTTTCTGTTCAAATAACACAGCTGTTAGTGAGAAACTGAATCTCAGGTGTGGCATCCTCTGTGTGTATCACAGTTACTGAGATAAGTTGAAGCCTTTATATGAGTTAGATTATTAAATGAGAAAATGAACAGACATACGGTCTGTATAGCCCACTTAATAACATATCATATATCTTGAGAAGAAGCCATTGGAGATCAAGAAATGAAGCTGAGGACAGTTGTCATGGCAACTTGATCTGATCATAGCATGGCTGTAGGAAGAAAACGGTCTTTGATAGGGGCAACAAGACCACAGGATTTAAAATTGAATACCCAAATGACTCACAGCTTTAATACTCTATGATTTGATTGCCTTATTACTTACATTACTGAAAGCTTTGCATTGTCCATAGACTGATGATAAGCTAACTGACATGGGTTTTTAAGAATTAAGAATCAGTATGTGGGAAAATCAAATATAACAAAATTTGAGTGGTTGAGCTTCGTTCATCTCACGGGACTTCTTCCCGTGAGAAGTCACATGTTATATGTTTGACTGA